TTTTCAATAAAATACTGGCAAACAGATTGCAACAGCACATCAAGAAGCTTATCCATCACAATCAAGTAGGCTTCATCCCGGGAATGCAAGGCTGGTTCAATATACCCAAATCCATAAATGTAATCCATCACATAAACAAAACCAAAGACAAAAACCACATGATTATCTCAATAGATGCAGAGAATGCCTTTGATAAAATTCAACAGCGCTTCATGCTAAAAACTCTCAATAAACTAGGTATTGATGGAACGTATCATAAAACGATAAGAGCTATATATGACAAACCTACAGCCAATATCATACTGAACGGGCAAAAGCTGGAAGAATTCCCTTTGAAATCAGGAACTAGACAAGGATACCCTCTCTCACTCCTCCTATTCAACATAGTATTGGAAGTTCTAGCCAGAGCAATCAGGCAAGAAAAAGAAACATAGGGTATTAGATTAGGGAAGGAGGAAGCCAAACTGTCTCTATTTGTGGATGACGTGATTGTATATCTAGAAGACCCCACTGTCACAGCCCAAAATCTTCTCAAACTGAGAAGCAACTTCAGCAAAGTCTCAGGATATAAAATCAATGTTCATAAATCACAAGCATTCCTATATGCCAATAACAGACAAACAGAGAGCCAAATCAAGAGCAGCCAAATCAAGAGCAAACACCCATTCACAATTGCTACAAAGACAATAAAATACCTAGGAATATAACTAACAAAGGATGTAAAGAATCTCTTCAAGAAGAACTACAAACCACTGCTCAATGAAATAAGAGAGGACACAAACAGATGGAGAAACATTCCATGCTCATGGTTAGGAAGAATCAATATCGTGAAAATGGCCATACTGCCCAAAGTTATTTACAGATTCAATGCTATCCCCATCAAGCTACCAATGACCTTCTTCACAGAACTGGAAAAAACCACTTTAAACTTCATATGGAATCACAAGAGACCCCTCATAGCCAAGACAATCCTAAGCAAAAAAAAAAAAAAAAACAAAAACAAAGCCAGAGGCATCATACTGTCAGACTTCAAACTATACTGCAGGCTACAGTAATCAAAAGCATGGTACTGGTATCAAAACAGACATAGACCAATGGAACAGAACAGAGACCCCAGAAGAAACACCACACATCTACAACCATCTGATCTTTGACAAACCCAGCAAAAACAAGCAATGGGGAAAGGATTCCATGTTTAATAAATGGTGTTGGGAAAACTGGCTAGCAATGTGCAGAAAGCAGAAACTGGACCCCTTCCTGACACCTTACACTAAAATTAACTCCAGATGGATTAAAGATTTAAACATATAACCTAACACCATAAAAACCCTAGAAGAAAACGTAGGCAAAACCATCCAGGACATAGGAATAGGCAAGGACACCATTACTAAAACACCAAAAGGAATGGCAATAAAAGCCAGGATAGACAAATGGGATCTAATTAAACTTTAGAGCTTCTGTACTTTAGAGTGAATCGGCAACCAACAGAATGCGAAAAAGTTTTTGCAATCTACCCATCTCACAAAGGGCTAATATCCAGATTCTACAAAGAACTAAAACAGATATACAAGAAAAATACCAACAACCCCATTCAAAAGTGGACGAAGGATATGAACAGACACTTTTCAAAAGAGAACATATATGAGGCCAACAAACATATGAAAAAATGCTCATCATCACTGGTCATTAGAGAAATGCAAATCAAAACCACACTGAGATATCATCTCCCACCAGTTAGAATGGCAATTATTTAAAAATCTGGAGACAACAGATGCTGGAGAGGATGTGGAGAAATAGGAACACTCTTACACAGTTGGTGGGAGTGTAAATTAGTTCAACCATTGTGGAAGACAGTGTGGCGATTTCTCAAGGATCTAGAAATAGAAATTCCATTTGACCCAGCAATCCCACTATTGGGTATATACCCAAAGAACTATAAATCATTCTACTATGAAGACACATGCACATGTATGTTCATTGCAGACCTGTGTACAATAGCAAAGACCTGGAACCAATCCAAATGCTCATCAATAATAGACTGGAAAAATAAAATGTGGCACATACACACTATGGAATACTATACACAGCCATAAAAAATGATGAGTTTGTGTCTTTTGTAGGGAATTGGATGAATCTGGAAACCATTATTCTCAGCAAACTGACCCAAGAACAGAAAACCAAGCACTGTATGTTCTCACTCATAGGTGGGTGTTGACCACTGAGAACACGTGGACTCAGGGTGAGGAGCATCACACACAGGGGACAGTTGGGAAGGTAGGGGAGAGACAATGGGGCTGGGGAGGGAGGAGAGGGTGCGGAGGGATAACATGGGGAGAAATGTCAGATATAGTATGCACCTAAAGTAAAATAAATAAAATTTTTTAAAAATGTTCAATTAAAAAAAAGAAAAAGAAATTTGAGAAAGGTGAGTAAGCTTCCTAGCAGGCACTGGGACTGAGAAAACAAGTTCATCACAAAATGATCATCACCTTGGCACATTATTATCAGGTTCTCTAAAGCTAAGACAAAGGAAAGAATCTTAAGAGCTGTGAGACAAAAGCACAGCTAACCTATAAAGGAAAACCTATCAGATTAACAGCACCTTTCTCAACAGAAACCCTACAAACTAGAAGGGATTGGGGCCCTATCTTCAGCCTCCTCAAACAAAACAATTATCATTCAAAAATTTTGTATCCAGCAAAACTAAGCTTCATATGTGAAGGAAAGATAGTCTTTTTCAGACAAATGAATACTGAGAGAATTCACCACTACCAAGCCACCACTACAAGAACTGCTAAAAGGAGCTCTAAATCTTGAAACAAATACTGGAAACACATCGAAACAGAACCTCTTTAAAGTATAAATCCCACAGTATTATAAAACAAAAATATAAGTTAAAAAACAAAAAGCCAAGGTACACAGGCAACAAATACCACAATGAATGGAATGGTATCTCACATCTCAATATTAAAATTGAATTTGAATGGCCTAAACGATTCATTTAAAACATACAGAATTGCAGAAAGGATAAGAATTCACCCACCAACTAGCTGCTGCCTATAAGAGACTCACCTAACACATAAGGACTCGCACAAACTTAAGGTAAAGGGGTAGAAAAAGAGATTTCATGCAAATGAACACCAAAAGCAAGCATGAGTACCTATTCTTACAGCAGACAAAATAAACTTTAAAGCAACAGCGGTTTAAAAATGCAAAGAATGACACTATATAATAATAAAAGGCGTTCTCCAACAGGAAAATACCACAATCCTAAACATATACACACCTAATACTAGAGGTCCCAAATTTATAAAAAAAAAATTACTAATAGACCTAAGAAGTGAGACAGCAATACAATAATAGTGGGAGATTTCAATATTCCACTGACAGCACTAAACAGGTTATCAGGAGAGAAAGTCAACAAAAAAACAATGGATTTGAACTATGCCCTGGAACAAATGGACTTAAGAGATATACAGAACACTCCAACAACCACAGAATATATTCTATTCAACAGTACATGGAAATTCCTCCAAGATAGACCATATGATAGGCCATAAAACAAGCTCAATAAATTTAAGAAAATTGAAATTATGTAAAGCACTCTCTCAGACCAAATAAAACTTGAAAGCAACTCCAAAAAGAGCCTTCAAAAGCATGCAAATATGTGGAAATTGGGTCAAAAATGAAATCAAGATGGAAATTTAAAAATTTTTCAAACTGAATGACAGTAATGACAAAACCTATCAAAAACTCTGGGACACAGTAAAGGCAATGCTAAGAGGAAAGTTCATAGCCCTAAATGCCTACATCAAAAAGTCTGAAAGAGCACAAACAGGCAATCTGAGATGACACCACAAAGAACTAGAGAAACAAGAATAAGCCAAACCCAAACCCAGCAGAAGAAAGAAAATAACCAAGATCAGAGAAGAACTAAATGAAATTGAAACAAATGAAAAAAGTACCAAAAGATAAATGAAACAAAAACCTGGTTCTTTGAGAAGACAAATAAAATGGATAAAATTATCAAGGTTAATCAAAAAGAAGAAGAAATAAAATCAAAATAAGGTCAATAGGAAACAAAGCATGGCCAGGCATGGTGGCTCAAGCCTGTAATCTCAGCACTTAGGGAGGCCGAGGCAGGTGGATCACCTGAGGTCAGGAATTCAAGACCAGCCTGACCAACATGAAGACACCCTGTCTCTCTCCTAAAAATACAAAACTAGCCAGGCATGGTGGCACATGCCTGTAGTCCCAGCTTACTTGGGAGGCTGAGGCAGGAGAATCGCTTGAACCCAGAAGGCAGAGTTGCAGTGAGCTGAGATTGCACCATTTCACTCCAGTCTGGGTGACAGGAGTGAAACTCCATCTCAAAAAAAAAAAAAAAAGAAAGAAAGAAAGCAGGAGATATTACAACTGACACCACAGAAATACAAAAGATTATGCAAGGCTACTATGAATATCTTTATGCATATAAACTAGAAAACCTAGAAGATATGGATAAATTTATGAAAAAAAATACAACCCTCCTAGCTTAAATCAGGAAGAATTAGATACCCTGAAGAGACCAATAATAAGCAGTGATATTAAAATGACAATTTAAAAATTACCAAGAAAAAAGTCTAGGACCAGACAGATTCACAGCAGAATTCTACCAGATAGTCAAAGAAGAATTGGTACCAATCCTTTTGGCACTATTCCACAAGATAGAGAAAGAGAGAACCCTCCCTAATTCATTCTATGAAGCCAGCAACACCCTAATACCAAAATCAGGAAAGGATATAGAGAAAAAAGAAAACTAAAAACCAGTATCTCTGATGAAAATAGATGCTAAAATCCTTAACAAAATACTAGCTAACCAAATCCAACAACATATCAAAAAGATAACCCTCAATGATCAAGTGGATTTCATACTAGGGATGCATGGATGGTTTAACATACACAAGTCAATCAATGTGATACACCATATAAACGGATTTTTTTTAGTCACATTGTCATCTCAATAGATGCAGAAAAAGCATTCGACAAAATCCAGAATCCCTTATGACTAAAACTCTCAGTATAATCAGCATACAAGGGACATTCCTCAACATAATAAAAGCCATCTATGACAAACGCACAGCCAAAATTATACTGAATGGGGAAAAGTTGACAGTGTTTCCTCTGAGAACTGAAACAAATAAGGATGCCCACTCTCACCACTCCTATTCAAAGTAGTATTGAAAGTCCTAGCCAGAGCCATCAGACAAGGGAAAGAAATAAAGGGTATCCAAACTGGTAAAAAGGAAGTCAAGGTAGATTGGGGGAAGATGGCCAACTAGTAACAGCTCAGGATTACAGTTCCCAGTGAAAGTGCAGAGGGTGAGTGGACGCCACATTTCCAGGCAGATTTTTATTGCCCACAGACCAGGAGATTCCCAGGCAGAGGAGACCCACTGGTCACCAGCACAGCTGTTTCAGCCAGGTTTTTGCCCGTGCAGCTGCTTTGCCTGCGCCCTGGAGTGGCGGTTCTCCATACAAAAGACACTGGTCTGGGTGCCCTCTTAGCTGGCGATTGGAGCCCTGAGACGGCAGAGTTGCCCATTCATCTGAAATAGTGAGCCAGGCCAGGAGATTCCTAGGCAAAAATACCGCCAGGAATCTCAGCGCCGCTGTTTCAGCTGGTTCAGTGAGTCACGGCATGGGAGATCCCAGTGCCTTTTCAACAGGAAACTGGAGCACTAGGAGAGTCGACTGTTCAACAACAACAACAAAAAAAGGCTCCCAGTCAGGGAGCCAGGTGATCAGGTTTGGCTGCTCCCACACCCCCCAAAAAAAAAAAAAAAAACAGTAATTGAAAACGCTCTGGGTTGAGAGTTTCACAGCAAGCACAGCTGAACACAGGAAGGTCCAGCTCTGTGGGTGAGGAGCATCCACCAATACTGAGACACTCCACCACTACGGAGGCAGTCTGACCATCGCTGAGGCAACCCGCCATTGCTATGGCAACCTGCCACTGCAGAGAGAGTCCGTCATAACAGAGGTGGGCCACCATTGCCAAGGCAATTCTAACTACACCCATATAAACAGGACTGCAGGGAAGATCACACGGCAGCTGGGTGGAGCCCACAGCAGCTCAGCAAAGCCTCTGCAGGCAGACAGTGACTTAGGCTGCCTCCCTGCTGGGCAGGGCAGCCCTGAAAGAAAAAACAAAGGCAGCAGCACAATAGAAATTCATTAAAAAAGGCCCTAGCTCCCTGGGACAGAGCACCTGGGGAAAAAAAATAAAAAGGTGGGATGGGGGAGTTTATGACTTCTGCAGGAGCAGACCTAAATGTAACTGCCCAGCAACTCTGAATGGACAACAGAACCCACAGCTTAGGACTTGAGCTCCAATAAAGGACAGACTGTCCCTTGAAGCAGCTCCCTGACCCCTGTATATCAAAAGAGTCACCTCATAAAGGAGACAACAGACTGACATTTGGCGGGCATCCTTCTGGGACAAAGATAGCAGAAGAGGAAACTTGTAGCAACCCTCACTGTTCTTCAGCTGCTGCAGATGATCCCCTGGCAAGCAGGGACTGGAGTGGACCTCAGCAGTCCTATAGCAGAGGGGCCAGACTGTTAGAAGAAAAGCTAAGAAAAAGAACTAACTTCAGCATCCACAAACTGGAAGTTCACTCAGAGACCCAATCTGAAAGTCAGTAACTACGAAGACAACAGGTGGATAAATCCACAAAGATGGGGAAAAGCCAACGCAAAAAGGAAGAAAACACCCAAAACCAGAACACCTCTCCTCCTGAAAGGGATCACAACTCCTCACCAGCAAGGGAACAAGGTTGGATGGAGAAGGATTGTGATGAAATGACCTAATCAGACTTCAGAAGGTGGTTAATAAGAAACTACAGTGAGCTAAAAGAACATGTTCTAACCCAATGCAAAGAAACTAACAACCTTGAAAAAAGATTTGACCAAATGCTATCGAGAATGGACAACATAGAGAGGAAGATAAGTGAGTTGATGAAGCTGAAAAACACAACACAAGAACTTTGCAATGCATGCACAAGTTTCAACAGCCGAATTGACCAAGCAGAAGAAAGGATATCAGAGGTCGAAGACCAACTCAATTAAATAAAACGAGAAGGAAAAAATAAAGAAAAAGGGTAAAAAGGAATGAACAAAGTCTCCAAGAAATGTGGGACTATGTGAAAAGATCGAACCTATGTTTGATACGCGTACCTGAATGCGACAAAGAGAATGAATCCAAGCTGGAAAATACTCTTCAGGATATTATCCAGGAAAACTTCCCCAACCTGGCAAGGCAGGCCAATATTCAAGTCCAGGAAATACAGAGAACAGCACAAACATGTTCCTCAAGAAAAGCAACCCCAAGGCACATAATCATCAGATTCACCAGGGTTGAAATGAAGGAGAAAATGCTAAGTGCAGCCAGAGAGAAAGGTTGGGTTACCCACAAAGGGAAGCCCATGAGACTCACAGCAGATCTCTCAGCAGAAACCCTACAAGCCAGAAGAGAGTGGGGGCCAATATTCAACATCCTTAAAGAAAAGAACTTTCAACCCAGAATCATATATAAAGCCAAACTAAGCTTCATAGGTGAAGAAAAAATAAAATCCTTTGCAAACAGGCAAGTACTCAGAGATTTTGTCACCACCAGGCCTGCTTTACAAGAGCTCCTGAAAGAGGGTCTACACATATAAAGGAACAACCAGTACCAGCCACTCCAAAAATATACCAAATGGTAAAGTGCATCAACACAATCAAGAACCTGCATCAACTAACAAACAAAACACCCAGCTAGCATCAAAATGGCAGTATCAACTTCACACATAACAATATTATCCCTAAATGTAAATGGACTAAATGCCCCAATCAAAAGACACAGACTGGCAAATGGAATAAAAAGGAAAAACCCATCAGTGTGCTCTATCCAGGAAACCCGTCTCACATGCAAAGATACGCAAAGGCTCAAAATAAAGGGATGGAGGAAGATTTACCAAGCAAATGGAGAGCAAAAAAAAGCAGGAGTTGCAATTCTCATCTCTGATAAAAAAGACTTTAAAGCAACAAACATCAAAAGAGACAAGAAGGACATTACATAATGGTAAAAGGATCAATGCAACAAGAAGAGCTAACGATCCTAAATATACATGCACCCAATACAGTAGCACCCAGATACATAAGGCAAGTTCTTAATGACTTACAAAGAGACTTAGACTCCCACACAATAATAGTGGGAGACTTTAACACCCCATTGTCAATATTAGACAGATCAACCAGACAGAAAATTAACAAGAATATCCAGGACCTGAACTCAGACCTCGAACAAACAAACCTAATAGACATTTACAGAACTCTCCACCCCAAAGCCACAGAATATACATTCTTCTCAGCACCACATCACACCTACTCTAAAATTGACCACATAATTGGAAATAAATCACTCCTCAGAAAATACAAAAGAACGGAAACCTTAACAAACAGTTTCTCAGACAACAGTGCAATCAAGTTAGAACTCAGAATGCAGAAGCTAACTCAGAACCACACAGCTGCATGGAAACTGAACAACTTGCTCTTGAATGCTGACTGGATAAAAAATGAAATGAAGGCAGAAATACAGATGTTCTTCAAAACCAACGAGAACAAAGACACAACATACCAGAATCTCTGGGACACATTTAAAGCAGTCTCTAGAGGAAAATATATAGCAATAAGTGCCCACATGAGAAGCAAGGAGAGATCTAAAATTGAAATCCTAGCATCAAAATTGAAAGAGTTAGAGGAGCAAGATCAAGAAAACTCAAAACCTAGCAGAAGACAAGAAATAACTAAGATCAGAGCAGAACTGAAGGAGACAGAGACACAAAAAAACCTTCAAAAAAATCAATAAATCCAGGAGCTGGCTTTTCGAAAAGGTCAATAAAATAGACAAACCGCTAGCCAGATTAATAAAAAAGAAAAGAGAGAATAACCAAGTTGATGCAATAAAAAAAGGATAAAAGGGGATATCACCACAGATTCCACAGAAATGCAAACCATCAACATCTTTATTACAAAAAACTCTATGCACATAAACTAGTAAACCTGGAAGAAATGGATAAATTCCTGGACACTTGCATCCTCCCAAGCCTAAGCCAGAAAGAAATTGAAACCCTGAATAGACCAATAACAAGGTCTGAAGTTGAGGCAGCAATTAAGAGCCTACCACCCAAAAAAAGCCCAGGTCCAGATGGGCTCACAACCGAATTCTTCCAGACATACAAAGAGGAGCTGGTACCATTCCTTCTGAAACTATTCCAAATAATCCAAAAAGAGGGAATCCTTCCCAAATCATTTTATGAGACAAACATCATCCTGATACCAAAACCCGGCAGAGACAGAAAAAGAAAAGAAAACTTCACGCCAATATCGATGATGAACATAGATGCAAAAATCTTCAATAAAATACTGGCAAGCCGATTGCAGCAGCACATCAAAAAGCTAATACATCATGATCAAGTAGGCTTCATCCGGGGGATGCAAGGCTGGTTCAATATACGCAAGTCTATAAACATAATTCACCACATAAACAGAACCAAAGACAAAAACCACATGATTATCTCAGTTGATGCGGAGAAGGCCTTTGACAAAATTCAACAGCCTTTATGCTAAACACCCTCAATAAACTAGGTATTGACGGAACATATCTCAAAATAATAAAAGCTATTTATGACAAATCAACAGCCAATACACTGAATGGGCAAAAACTGGACGAATTTCCTTTGAAATCTGGCACTAGACAAGGATGCCCTCTCTCACCACTCCTATTCAATATAGTATTGGAAGTTCTACCCAGAGCAATCATGCAAGAAAAAGAAATAAAGGGTATTCAAATAGGAAAGGAAGAAGTCAAATTGTCTCTATTTGCAGACGACATGATTGTATATCTAGAAGACCCCATTGACTCAGCCCAAAATCTCCTGAAACTGACAAGCAACTTCAGCAAAGTCTCAGGATACAAAATCAACGTGCAAAAATCGCTACCATTCCTATACACCAATAACAGACTTAAAGAGAGCCAAATCAAGAACGAACTGCCATTCACAATTGCTACAAAGAGAATAAAATACCTAGGAATACAACTAACAAGGAACATAAAGGACCTCTTCAAGGAGAACTACAAGACACTGCTCAACAAAATAAGAGAGGACACAAACAGATGGAGAATCATTCCACATTCATAATTAGGAAGAATCAATATCGTGAAAATGGCCATACTGCCCAAAGTTATTTACAGATTCAATGCTATCCCCATCAAGCTACCAATGACCTTCTTCACAGAACTGGAAAAAAACACATTAAACTTCATATGGAACCAAAAGAGAACCTGCATAGCCAAGTCAATTCTAAGCAAAAAGAACAAAGCAGGAGGCATCACGCTACTGGACTTCAAGCTATACTACAAGGCTACAGTAACCAAAACAGCATGGTACTGGTACCAAAACAGAGATATAGACTAATGGAACAGAACAGAGGCCTCGGAGGCAACACAACGTATCTACAACCATCTGATCTTTGACAAACCAGACAAAAACAAGCAATGGGGAAAGGATTCCCTGTTTAATAAATGATGTTGGGAAAAGTGGCTAGCCATGTGCAGAAAGCACAAACTGGACTGCTTCCTGATGCCTTACACTAAAATTAACACCAGATGGATTAAAGACTTAAACATAAGACCACACCATAAAAACCCTAGAAGAAAATCTAAGCAAAACTATTCAGGACATAGGCGTAGGCAAGCACTTCATGACCAAAACACCAAAAGCCTTGGCAACAAAAGCCAAAATAGACAAATGGGACCTAATCAAACTCCACAGCTTCTGCACAGCAAAAGAAACAGTCATTAGAGTGAATCGGCAACCAATAGTGTGAGAAAAAATTTTTGCAGTTTACCCATCTGATAAAGGGATGATATCCAGAATTAACAGAGAACTAAAACAGATTTACAAGAAAAAAACAAACAAGCCCATT